TGTAATCTTATGTATGTTGGTAGGACCAAAAGACCTCTACAAGTGAGAATAAATGAACACATACGTAATATAAAGAAGGGGTTTGATAAACATAATCTCTCGTTACATTTTAAGGAAATACATGAGAGCAGCCCCCATGGTCTAGAATTGTTTGCAATCCAAAAGATAGAGCTAAATTGGCGGGGAGAGGATGAAATTAAAAAACTAGGAAAAATTGAAACAAAATGGATTTTTGATTTGAACACACTGGCCCCTTTTGGCCTAAATGCAGATTTTGAGTTATGTCATTTTTTATAATAGTTCATTTTTTATTCCCATTTTTATTTTTCACTTTTATTCTTTTTTTAATCATTCACTCATCTAGCCATTTTTTGTATCTTTATTTTTATTTTTATTTTAAGGTACATATTTTAATTATAATGATATCCATTTATTGTGTTGTATCCAGACCATACTAACACACATATTTATTTCAATGTGTATAATTGTTATAACTTCTCTTTTAAACCTACCTTTTTAAGTATATTAAACATGCTTTAATATATGTTTTTTACATAATACATTAAAGATTAGATATTTATAAAGAAGGATATTTGATAGAATAAACTTTGTTTTTTTAAAAATATGTGCCACAATGCTTTTCTATATCTTGCAATGCCGACGGAACTAAACCGGAAGTCACATGTGAGGCACAGAGCATCATGGGATTTGAAGTCCCGAGAATGCCGAAACCGGAAGTGACGGTTGGAGGGGAAACGTCACCGATTGGTTGATTGACAAACAGGCGGGTTTTTCAACGGCATAAAACCGGAAAGAACACAGGACTTTTACAGCCAACTGAGGAAGCTCATCGGAGCGAAACGCGTCTTGGCAGAGGATACAGAAATTGGGACTATTTACTTTAAAGCCCTATCCAGTTATTTTCATTTATATTTTTTATTTTCTAGTTTACTGTATATTTTATCTGTATTTTATTCCGCAATAAATTTAGTTATATGCATTACTGTATCCTGAACTCTTTCCGGTAAAGGGGGAGGTGTCACCCCATTTGACACTAAGCCTGCAGACTTTGAGCCGGTATTTAAAAGGCTCTTAAAGAGGTGAGCACCCCATTTTTTCTTCTCTTCCTTATAAATACCAACTTAAGAGTATTTCTAAAATACTACACCTAGAGAGTCTCTCTCCCCTTTTTTCTTATATATATTTGTTGTGGAGTGGAGGAAAGTAAGAACTCTTGAAGAATTGAAAAAAGGGGTTAAAGCTGTCTACCTTTAAAGGCACGGATGTCTACAAGTTTAGAGCCTAATATCTGAAAAGGCTCTAAATCATGTGAGTAGTTATAACTCACATACTAATTATTGTTTTGTTTATACAATATTACACTATCACTCTGTATATTTATTTTTTGTGTTTTTCATGTAAACCCCTAATCAAATATTGAGAGGGGTAAGTTGCATGTATATTTGTACATATATCTTATACAGCGCTGCACTCAAAAATAGAGGCTTGGAAGGTGGAAACACATACCAGACCTCTAATTGTTGTTTTTGGTGTCTATTTAGAGTGGGGGATTGGGAGTACCCACAGAGTGTCTTCAGTAGATAATACTAAATCACTTCTTTATATATACAAATACGCACCACAGTTTCACATCCATTTGTGTTTACATTGTACTTTTTATTTGTGCCATTTATCTTTTTATACACACTTATTTTATTTTTTTACCTGGCATCTTCTCTACATCCTGGACTCCAAGTAATCCTAGGTGGGGATCATACCACCAGCGCTAACGTTTAGGAGCAGTTGGTCTGCTCTTGTCTTGTGAGTACCCATTTTATTTTATTTTATCACCAATATTTTACTCAGTGTACACTATTGGCTGTTTCTTTTTATCCGAGTGTTGAATATACCACTGATGGAGGAAGCTCACCGTATATCCCATAAGCGGGGATTAAACCGCTGTACGCCCTTCATACTAGAGCGAGTCTAACGCTCTGATAAATGTGAGTTTTATTTCAGCCTTTTATTATTTTTATCCTTTTATTCTGAAGCATATTGCACTATTTGATTCTCCACTTTTTTATCTTCTATATACGAGCGGATACATAAGGAGGAAAACATAAAGCACTATTGTTCTGGATCAAGCACGGATAGATTCTACGATCCCAATAAGAACATTTTAGATAAGACTTTTAAAATTCTTCTCACTTTCTCAGACTATTTGTTATTTTTCATATCAATTTCTCCTTGGCGCAGCCCTTATTTCTTATTCTTTCTCCTTTTCAGTGTTATTTCTAAGGGTTTTTGAGGGATTCCCTTATAGGGTTGCTGCCTACATATTAGTCAGCGCTTACTCACTGCTTTGTTTTTATTCCGCTTTGATACAAGTAGTAGAGGGGAGGCCCAGGGACTGTCTCATTCCTCTTTGAATTCTAACTGGACCATCTGTTGGATCTCCTTTTTATATTTTATTAAACATGCATCAGGGATGCGGTATGCAGGTTGTCTCATGGGCGCTTGCCCAGGAGTCTCCATCGGGTGCACCGCTAGGGTGGCATATTGGAAAATACTTTTTTTTCCAGGAGCTGGAAGTTCCACTCTAGGGGCCCTAACTCTTCCCCTAACTGTCTGGCAACCTTCCCTTTGTATATCCAGTAATGGGAGATTGTCATAGTCCATAGTCCCACTGCTGCTACCTCTTCCTCATGGTCCACATATGGCTTATGCATATTGATGTTGAACTTCCTCCTAAATATCTCTTCTGACCACCTGGCCACAACATAGGTGTCGTCGCATATCTGCTCCATCACCCTGTAGGGACCTTAACAGACAGCCTGCAGCTTGTTTTGCTAGGTAGGTTTTAACACTAGAACCATTTTCCCAATCTGGAAACTGTGGTCCCTGGCTGACCATTCATACCAGACCCACTGGCAGAGTTACCTCCTGAGTTTACCTCCAAGCGGTTTCTCTGCTCCAGCATGTAAGGTAGGATTGTCATCCCTTCCATTGTTTTCCCTTCCCAATACTCATGGATAAGATCTAGGGGAGACCCTATTGAATATTATGGTACCTCCCAATAGGTGAACAGGAGGTGAGGAAGGAATCGCTACTAAGCCTTGCAAATGGTAATGAATGTCCGAAGCATCTGCTTTGGAATTCCATTGAACCATTCACATAGGCCATTTGCCAGGGGGTGATAGGGCAAGCTCTGGATAGGTCTTATTCCATAGAGCCTCTAAAGTTGCTGGGTATTCTCAGCGGCGAAATGGGTAGCCTGATCAATGATGATCTTCTGGGCAACCTGACTTATGAGAAAACTTGCGTCAGGGCATCTGCATGTTTATTGGTTAGCGCCAATACCCCTGAGCCAGTCTCCTATTTAGCATAATGATCTGTTTGTGATTGCTGTCAGTTATCTGGGGATGCCATCTGAATATAAACAGCATGGTGTAATATACCTCAAGCTTTCTGATATTTAATTGTATCCATCTATTCTCTGATTACACCTACGTTTATTAAAGTTTATATTGGTATGTTGATATTATATATGAACACTGTCTTTTTGATGAATGTTAAGATTAAGAACAGTGTTTATTCACACACCATGGCTTTCCTTAATTCTGTTCTTTCAGGTGTGTAGTAGATAACTCGCTAAATAAAATTGTACCCTTATGTGATATTGCCATATTATTTTACCTACTTAGGGAGCTGTCTACTAAGCATGTAAAATATAAAAATTGAGAAAAGCCCTTTTCGTAATTTAGGTATTTCAGTTGTTTAGTAGATGGTTCACTAATTGATACCCTTATGTAGGCTTACCATATTTAATTGTACGGAATTAGGGAGTTATCAACTAAACACAACAGCTCCCTATTCTGGTAGTGGTACCCTTAAATATGGTTTGGTAATTGCACATTCTAATTTTAAATGAATGAACTAATGAAATAATCAAACAAAAATGTTTGTTTTGAGTGGTTCGTTCATTACTTACATTGTGCCATTCAACATTCGTACAAATGGCCGAACAAGAAAATGTTCTTACAAATGTATTTTCTTCTGAATGCCCAAATCTAGTTCACAGTATCAAAAATTATAAATAGCAATGTATTTTCAAAACGCAACATTGTCCTGTTAAGAACTGCTGTAAAATTTGAGGATTGCTGGTAAGATATGTTGAGAACTGAAATGTAATCTCAAATTTAAGTAACCAAACTGAGAGCATAGACAATTGTCACTTTATTAAATAACCTTGACTGCTTTTCATGATGTTCTACATTTGTGGGTGTGCAAAAAACAAACAAAAAACATTCCTTAGGAATTGCTTACAAACCACGTTCATATTTACTTAACTCTTCACAATCGAGTTTAAAACATGATCACACTATTTTTTTATACTTGGTTTACTTACCTAGCTAACATCAAAATATAATAATTTTAAGTCTAATTTTTTTTTTTTTATTACATTTATTAATAGACTGTTTACAAAAATATAGTGGAATAAAAGGTTTTAGATATTGAATGTTGAATGAAATAGACAAGAAAAAACTCACATATATAATATTACACAAAGAAAGAAATTAGTACAAATGATTTTCTTGTGACTGTTTGCAGAGATACAGGTGTCAATTGCAAAGGATACAGGAGATTCAGTATCCTATATATTATATCAGAAAGGATGGGAAGTGCTTAGAGCAAATTAAGAGTGTCAGTATTGCGTGTTTCTGGGTTTGTGTATTGAGGCCTAAGGATCAGAGATGGAGATGAGACACAGTTATATGAAGATAGTTACAGCTAGGAGGGGCAAAGTAAGGAGATAGAGAGGGGCTGGGTAGAACAGACATTTGTTGTACACAACTGAAAACTTTACCAACCAGATTCTATTGCCCCAAATATTAATACCTTCTGGTACATGAAATATTGGTGAAATACATTCAATAAAAATAACAATGAATAACTGCATACACAGAAAGTTACAAGTAAAATAATGGCAATGTTATAGTAAAAATAATAATACAGTGACGAAGGTAGAATAGATTAGATGCAGTATTATGTTTGTTAACCTTTTGCTTTTTATTCGTTATTGTCAATAGGTTACACTATTAAACATGAATAATTTCTGGATTGCTATCCTAATTTCAGTGTTCCTCAAGCTGTATATAATGGGATTCATTAGTGGAGTCACTACCATGAACAACAAGGATCTGAACTTATTTAAATCGATAGCGTCTTCCCCAGATGGAATTATATAAACTACGACCAGAGTCACATAATAGGTGCACACAGAGATCAGATGGGAAAAACAAGTGGAGAAGAACTTGCTCCTTCCTGTTATAGATGTAATTTTCATAATGGAGAAGAAAATTAAAACATAGGTAATTACAATAAAAACAAATGGAAAAATGATTAGTGGGATGGATAAAAATGCATCTAACATTCTCAAAACTGATGTGTCAGATACAGTCAGATTTAAGAGAGGAGCAAATTCACAGAAGAAATGATCGATGTAACTTTGCCCACAAAATTGTAACTGGCAAACCAAAATCATTTCACTTGAAATCAGTGTTATAAACAACAACCAGGGACCAGCTACCAATTGCAGGCAAACAATCGGACTCATTATTATTGAATATTTAAGTGGGTTACATATAGCCAGTAACCGGTCATAGGACATCACTGCAAGAAGAAAACATTGCACATAACCAGAAACTGTAAAAATGTAGAGTTGAGCTATACAGCCAACACGCGATACTGTCCTCTCCTCCTTTATCGTGACATCAAGCATTAAAGGTATAATGTCCGTAGCAAGAACCATATCAGATAGGGCCAAGTGCTGCAGGAAGTAAAACATTGGAACATTGAGATGGTCAGTGGTGGTCACCAATAGCAAGATGAGCAGATTCCCACCCAGTATCACAGAGTAGATTAGTAGAAACAGAGTAAAGAGCAGAATTTTGAGCTTGTGTAGATGTCCAAACCCCAACAGAACAAACTCTGTTACTTCAGTCTGGTTATCCTCACACATGGTGTAAACAAGTGGACTTCAGAGCAACATTTCCTAAAAAAAAGAAGGATGTTACACAGCAATTACAACATGGTGAAGATGCCAAATATGTATTATATATATTCATGGCAATTCTAAATCAAGACACCTATCTATTTGTCCCTCTGGTGTTAGTCAACACTGAAATGGCTCAGATGAAGCTAGTTATCCATATCTTCAGCTAAAAGTATATTTTTGTTTTCTTAATTTTAGTATTTTGACTTAAATTTCACCAGTTGGTCATCTTAACTTCAGATGATTGCTTATATATCTATCTTAAACATTAATTTTTAGGCAACTTGTCAAAATTGAAAGGGTTATTTTAAGCACCCTTACCACTTCAGTTATTTATAGTGGTCGTGGCGCCTAGAGTCTGTATGTATATTATTTTGCTTTGATGCTGGTGGTGTAACCGGGGTGTCATTAGCAAGTAATTGGTCTCTCATTAGCAGCCCAGAACCCAGAGCCCTGGGTTGGGTAATGTAAATTATGTTCAATTGTCATTAATACATAGGAAAATAGTGACTAAGGTGCTAAATAAAAAAGTGCTGCTATATCACGTGTGAACTAATCCCTGCAAATAATTCCCACACAGAATAATCCAAAATAAATAAAGTGAAAGCATTTTTTGAAAAGGTTAGAACATAAATCGTATTGACAATATACTTGCAAGAAAAAGTATGTGAACCCTTTGGAATGATATGGATTTCTGCATAAATTGGTCATAAAATGTGATATGATCATCATATAAGTCACAACAATAGACAATCGGTCTGCTTAAACGAATAACACACAAAGAATGAAATGTTGCCATGTTTTTATTGAACGCAACATGTAAACATTCACCTTGTAGGTGGAAAAAGTATGTGAACCCTTGGATTTAATAACTGGTTGAACCTCCTTTGGCAGCAATAACTTCAACCAAACATTTCCTGTAGTTGCAGATCAGACGTGCACAATGGTCAGGAGTAATTCTTGACCATTCCTCTTTACTGAACTGTTTCAGTTCAGCAATATTCTTGGGATGTCTGGTGTGAATCGCTTTCTTGAGGTCATGCCACAGTATCTCAATCAGGTTGAGGTCAGGACTCTGACTGGGCCACTTCAGAAGGCGTGTTTACTTCTGTTTAAGTCATTCTGTTGGTGATTTACTTCTATGCTTTGGGTCATTGTCCTGTTGCAACACCCATCTGAGCTTCAGCTGGTAGACATATGGCCTTACGTTCTCCTGCAAAATGTCTTGATAAACTTGGGAATTAATTTTTCCTTCATTGATAGCAATCCGTCCAGGCCCTGACGCAGCAAAGCAGCCCCAAACCATGATGCCCCCACCACCATACTTCACAGTTGGGATGAGGTTTTGATGTTGGTGTGCTGTGCCTTTTTTCGCCACACATAGTGTTGTGTGTTTCTTCCAAACAACTCAACTTTGGTTTCATCTGTCCACAGAATATTTTGCCAGTACTGTTGTGGAACATCCAGGTGCTCTTGTGCAAACTGTAAATGTATAGCAATGTTTTGTTTGGACAGCAATGGCTTCATCTGTGGTATCCTCCCATCAAATCCATTCTTGTTTAGTGTTTTACGTATTGTAGAGTCGCTAACAGGGATGTTAGCATTTGCCAGTGACTTTTGTAAGTCTTTAGCTGACACTCTATGATTTTTCTTCACCTCACTGAGCAGTCTGCACTGTTCTCTTGCAGTCATATTTAAACTAGGAGGGGGGGGGGGAGGGTGATAAAACATCAACCCAATTGTGCCCCAAAACAAGGACAGAAGGTGCCTGTAGCAAGTGTGTTAACACATGATAACCTTAGAGTCATGTCTACAAATGCTCACAGTTTAGGGAATAAGATCCATGAACTTGTGGCAATAATGGCAACTGATAGTGTATATTTAGTCACTGTTACTGAGACATGGTATAATGAGAAAAATGACTGGGACATAGCAATACCAGGGTACTCTTTATATAGAAAAGATAGGGAAGGCAAGAAAGGGGGAGGTGTGGCCCTGTATGTGAAGGATAGCATAAAATCTAGCCTAATAAAAGTTAGTGAGGCGAACATAAAGTCCGTTTGGGTTACGTTAAAATTTGGTAATCACACAGTAACTTCTGTAGGTTTGATTTATAGGCCCCCAGGACAAACTCTAGAGTTAGATAATCTACTATAGCTAAATGACAATGAAGGGGGAAGTTATCATCATGGGTGACTTTAATCTTCCTGATGTAAATTGGAAAACAAAAATAGCTGCATGTGCCAGAAGCACACATATTCTAAACTCACTACTGGGATTGTCTCTAAAACAAGTCGTTGAGGAGCCAACTCGTAAAGAGGCCATACTAGATTTAGTGTTAACAAATGGAGTAAAAAAAGGGGACAAAACATTTTTAGATACATAAATGAGAAAATAAAAATAAAACAAGGATTAGTTAAATTAAAAACCAAAGAAGGAAGGTATGTAGAAGAGGATAAAGGTCTAGCTGACTGCCTCAATTAATATTTTTGTTCTGTATTTACAGATGACAATGAAGGAAAGGGACCTCAGTTAAGAAAAAGGATAAATGAGTCATTTATTACACGTGAGTTTACAGAGGAAGAGGTTCTATTTCAACTGTCAAAAGTAAAGACAAATAAGTCAATGGAACCTGATGGAATACACCCACAGCTATTAAAAGAGCTTAGTGGTGTACTAGCAAAACCATTAACATATTTATTTAACCAATAATTGTTAACAGGAGTAGTCCCAGAAGATTGGAAGTTAGCGAATGTTGTGCCCATTTACAAGAAAGGTAATAGGGAGGAGTCGGATAAAGGATAGGATTGTTGAACATCTAAAAACACATGGATTTCAAGATCAGAGACAACATGGGTTTACTTCAGGGAGATCTTGCCAAACTAAACTTATTGATTTTTTTGATTGGGTAACTAAAATTATAGATCAGGGGGTGCAGTAGACATTGCTTACCTAGATTTCAGTAAGGCTTTTTACACTGTTGCACATAGAAGGCTTGTCAATAAACTGCAATCTTTAAGTTTAGATTCCAATATTGTTGAATGGGTAAGGCAGTGGCTGAGTGACAAGCAACAGAGGGTTGTAGTTAATGGAATATATTCGAAGCTTGGATTTGTCACCAGTGGGGTACCTCAGGGATCTGTACTTAGACCCATTCTCTTTAATATTTTTATTAGTGATATTGCAGAAGGTCTTGATGGTAAGGTATGTCTTTGTGCTGATGATACTAAGATATGTAACAGGGTTGATGTTCCAGGAGGGATAAGCCAAATGGCAAATGATTTAGGTAAACTTGAAAAATGGTCAGAATTGTGGCAAAGTACAGAATATTTGATAGAGTCCTAACCTTAACATCTGAGGAAAGGGATTTAGGGGTGATCATTTCTGATGACTTAAAGGTAGGCAGACAATGTAATAGAGCAGCAGGAAATGCTAGCAGAATCCTTGGTTGTATAGGGAGAGGTATTAGCAGTAGAAAGAGGGAAGTGCTCATACCATTGTACAGAACACTGGTGAGACCTCACTTGGAGTATTGTACACAGTACTGGAGACCGTATCTTAAGAAGGATATTAATACCTTAGAGAGGGTTCAGAGAAGGGCTACTAAACTGGTTCATGGATTGCGGGATAAAACTTACCAGGAAAGGTTAAAAAATCTTAACATGTATAGCTTGGAGGAAAGACGAGACAGGGGGGATATGATAGAAACATTTAAATACATAAAGGGAATCAACACAGTAAAGGAGGAGACTATATTTAAAAGAAGAAAAACTACCACAACAAGAGGACATAGTATTAAATTAGAGGGACAAAGGTTTAAAAATAATATCAGGAAGTATTACTTTACTGAGAGGATAGTGGATGCATGGAATAGCCTTCCAGCTGAAGTGGTAGAGGTTAACACAGTAAAGGAGTTTAAGCATGGGTGGGATAGGTATAAGGCTATCCTAAATATAAGATAAGGCCAGGGACTTATGAAAGTTTCTAGAAAATTGGGCAGACTAGATGGGCCAAATGGTTCTTATCTGCCGTCACATTCTATGTTTCTATGTTTCTATCTTTACAGGATGGCCACTCCTAGGAAGAATAGCAGCAGTGCTGAACTTTCTCCATTTATAGACAATTTGTCTTACCATGGACTGATGAACAGCAAGGCTTTTGGAGATACTTTTATAACCCTTTCCAGCTTTATGCAAGTCAACAATTCTTAATCGTAGGTCTTCTGAGAGCTCTTTTGTGCGAGGCATCATTCACATCAGGCAATGCTTCTTGTGAAAAGCAAACCCAGAACTGGTGTGTGTTTTTTATAGGGCAGGGCAGCTGTAACCAACACCTCCAATCTCATCTCATTGATTGGACTCCAGTTGGCTGACATCTCACTCCAATTAGCTCTTGGAGATGTCATTAGTCTAGGGGTTCACATACTTTTTCCACCTGCACTGTGAATGTTTACATGGTGTGTTCAATAAAAACATGGCAACATTTCATTCTTTGTGTGTTATTAGTTTAAGCAGACTGTGATTGTCTATTGTTGTGACTTAGATAATGATCAGATCACATTTTATGACCAATTTGTGCAGAAATCCATATCATTCCAAAGGGTTCACATACTTTTTCTTGCAACTGTGTATACTCCTGGCTAAAAGGTTTATTTCCTGCATACCTCAGTAAACAGTCCTAAAAGTAAACCTTTCTTTAAATTTTCACCAGTTACATTGCAGATACTTTGTATTGGAAAGTATCCTTCACTGCCAAGCACTTTTTATTTGAAACAAAATGTATAGCATTTATTTGAAATGTTGAATACATAACTGGTACCTAAACATATAATAAAGCAAAACATATTTTGCTATTGGTGAAATGGGAGAGCTCTTACACATCTTCCCACTTACTCAATGTATTAATAGTATGACCCATTTAAAATTATTTTAATGACTGGGAGAATGGGGGTAGCTAAGAAGAGTGAA